CATGCGTGGAAGCGCAGAACTCGTCAAAACCGGGTAAGGAGCGCGGGAGGGCGGCTGGGCCCTTCGCCGTTCCCGGAAGTTACTTACTTCCGGGTGCGCCAACCAACCGGTTCGCAGGGACCGCCGCGAACCGGTTGAAACCCACCCCTGACCCAACTTCACCAAACAGTTCTGAGAGAACTAATGAAGTAGGATAGTTATTTGCTCAGCACCATCAGATTCCTTTGTGCCATATCTTGCCAGATTCATGGTGAGACAGATGAAAACAGAAAGCAATATAACAAAGAAATAAAAACGGTAATTAAAGATGCAAAAAATGCTAGTTGAACTCAAACCTAAATTTCTTTGGGACTGGCATTGATGTGTGTTCAGAAAAATAACCTTAAATAGCCAGATGTAAGTCTTACTAAAAATGTTGGCAAAATAATTGCAATTGTTTCCCCCTGCAATATTTTTTCAGATCATTTACTAAAATTCAAATTTTTCATTGTTGTTAAAGGTGATCAATAGAGGCCTCTTCCTCACCATGGTAGCAGCAGCAGTGAGTGGCATCTATCTGTGCAGAAATGGAAAGTTATCCAAAATTGACTTTCGTATAGAGGATTTCTGGAGACATTCTTAAAAATGGTGGAAAACTTTCAGTAATCATTTGAGATAGAAATGAATGCTTTCTGAATAATTAGTCTCTATTTCAGAAGTTGGTCTTCCAAATATAAAAACACATATGATATAGATGAATGCTGGATCCAAGGCCTACATTCCTATTCATATAGAGAAATTCACTTCTAGATTTGAATATGCCTTGCATTTTATCATTGCTTTGCTGTCCTGTGTTTCATTTTGCAAGAAATTTGCAATATCTCAGTTACATCATCAACACATTTTGACAGGAGACGCTACGGCATTTCTAAGACTGTTCTACTATCTCATCTATAAGATAATCATTATGGCAATGCATGGAGTTATCTAATTAAATTGTTTCTGCATCTTTTAAAAAATATTTTCATATAATCCTGGTATTTCATTCTTCTCAAGTTCTAGTATGGTGAAAAAAATAAAGTTGTGTCTTGGGATCCAGTTGTCTATTTCTGCTAGAACAGTTTCAGTAATTACAATAGAAAATTCTCTTCTCTGTAATTATCTCCCTGAGCATTCTCAAAATATGATCTGGAGGGTCTTTCAGGTTTTGTGGCAACAGTGAAATTCACCTTGCCTGATACTGTATTAGTCCCATCCAAAGTTCTAAATCTCAATGTCACGCTCCATGGATTTTAAGGCAGATGGTTCTAGGAAGATGGTAAGATCCGCAGGTTAGCAGGCAAATGCCTGGAAAATATGGTAGAAAAATTCCAAGATCAGAAGAGTTTTCAAGTTCACAAAAGTACTCCAAGAAGATTAATGGATGAGCATGTATACTCTGAGAAGCTCAGAAGACAGTGGGCCAGTGGGCAATGGACATTGGAAAAATTAGGAAATGAGCAGATCAGTGAGACAATCCTAGAAAAATGGGAGGGAACCAAGCTGCTGAGAAGATGCTATAATGATTGGTAGGTGGAAGAGCCAGCAGAAAGAGGCTGGAAAGGTGTGGTGGGGGCCAAAGTTGTGATGAATAGTGGAGCAGAGAGCAGAGAGTATGTATTAGGAAAATTGGAAGTACTTATGAATCTGTTTTATTTCCGATTACATACCTGAATCTTGTATACTATATAATCCCTGCTGAATCTTCTCCTGCTTGCCTTTAAACCTATGAAAATTCTATCTGTTCATAATTTTAGGGGAAATAAAATTGATACCAAATAACCCCTTTCACATCTCAGACTACTTCAATAGATAAGGCATATAAGAGCCCAAATTGAAATGTACATGAGCTTTATTGGTATCAGTGTATAGTTGAGAATTGCAAGCACGGCTACATAATTACAAATTGAAATGACTTTAAATCAGTAAAAGATTTATTGATATCAATGATGCATTAACAACATTTATCAAGTACCTTATTAAGTGCCTGGAATTTGCAATAAGCCAAAATGTTATTAAAGCAATGCTATATATATTGTAACATCACAAATTCTGCTCCCTATATATCTATACATGTGATACGTTGTGCAGTGCTAATACAAAATGGGAGAGTTTAGTTTGCAATCGTTGTCTTACCATTTCCCTCCCTGTGGATGGTCATGCTTAGCATCTTGTGAATTGACAAACTTTAATATACAGTGCTAAAGTGACTGCAATTGCCTTGTTTCGTCTACTGCATACAGCTTGCCTGATCAAACCAATCTTTTTCTGTAGAACTACAGGGTTGGGGTTTTTTTTTTACTCACAAAAAAGTTTAATTCATATACCATTCTATTAATTAAATTGTGTTAAAATGAGTTGTGACAATACTATTCCTCATGTAATGTCCAGAATTTGTGCTATCATGCTAGCAATTGATGTCTACAGTGAAAAAAATTTAGGATTTACATGCCAACAGATCAAAAATGAAACACACAGCTTTCAAATATCTCATCTGCTATCATGTCTCATTAAAAAAAAACACAATACAATACAACAATAAAGACCCATCAACCCATCAAAGCTTATCAGGGTACTTGGTATAGAACTTCTGCAAAAGTCTGTTAAGCTCTAACATGAGATTTGTCGACCCATTCAGCATGGGAAGGGGGGAAATGTTTCCAGGATTCCAAATACTGAACGCGACCTCTATGTTTCCTGGAATCTAAAATGTCTTTAACTTCAAAATGGTGCTCTCCTTCAATAAGAAGAGAGGCCAGGGGTGCAGGTTGAGGTGGACAAAAGGAAGTGTGCTCAGGTTTCAACAGGTTCCCTGAAACACAGGGTAAATCCTATGAAGGCTCTTAGGCAACTCCAATTTTATGGATACAGGATTTATGATTTTCACAATGGGGAATGGACCTACATACTTAGGCCACCGTTTCTTTGATTTTTGGGTGATTTGCAGAAACTTGGTGGACAAAAACACCCTATCCCCAACTTTGTATTCTTTCGGTCTAGCCCTCTTCTTATCTGCCTATTTCTTGTGAGCCTGGTGGGCTGCTTCCAAAGCTTTGCGGGTCATGGGCCAAAACTGTTGAAGTTGATCACTCTACTCAGATAAGGACAAAATTTGCAGTCTTTCCCAAGGCAATTCAGGAATCGGAACAAAGTCCTGGCCAAACACAACCTTAAAAGGAGTCATGCCGATACTGCTGTACACAGAGTTATTGTACACCACCTCAGCATGTGGTAACAGTTCAGCCCAATTATCCTGTTGATAATTAATGAAACATTGAGGTACTGCTCAAGAACAGAGTTAGTCCATTCACAAGCCCCATTAGTTTGAGCATGGTGGGTGGAGCTTAGCCCTTGGATGGAGCCAATCAACTTTAGGAACTCGTTCCAAAAGAGGGAGGTGAATTGGACCCCCTATCTGAAATAATGCATTCAGGCACTCCATGTAACCGATATACATGTGAAATAAACAATTTAGCTAACGACTTCACTGATGGTATCTTGGAACAAGGCACAAAATGAACTTCCTTGGAAAACAGGTCAGTGATAACCCAAATTACAGTATTTCCAAGACTCTCTGGCAATTCTACAATGAAATCCATAGATATTTCCTTCCATGGTGCTTCTGGGTGGGCAACACTGGAGAAGACACTGGGGCTTCCCTGGTGGTCTTTTTGTGGCTGCATAGACAGGACAACTGGCTATATAGGACTCAATGACTTTTTTCAATGAAGGCCACCAGAACTGCCTCTTAATCAAATGCAAAGTCTTTACAAATCCAAAGTGGCCCGCCATTCTTGAATCGTGGGGCCGTTGAAGAACAACCAGTTTCAGGTTATCAGGAACATACAATTTAGCTCCTACCCAAGCCAGTCCACCTTTCATGGTGCATTCATTTGAATTTTTCTTGAACCAGTCATCGGACTCAAGGCCCTCCTTGAGTTTGTTCATTAAGTCCATCATGACATCTAAGTCCATTGGGCCTTGGCTCCTGGTAACCATGGGGGCAGCGAGATTTTTGCTGGGATGACTGAATGAACTATGCTCAGCCTAGAGCTGTTGTACTGGGGAAGCCTAGATAAGGCATCAGCCATAAAGTTCTCTCCCCCCCCCCCCCGGGATGTACTTGAGGGTAAAGTTGAAATGGTTGAAATGCTGTGCCAAATGTACTTGTTTAGGTGATAGCTTATGCAGGGTCTTCAACGCTTCCAAATTCTTATGATCATTCCATACCTCAAAAGGGTGTTTTGTCACCAGGTTATCAGAGCCCATCTGAGAGCAAAAGCTTCCTTTTCCCATATAGCCCATCTCCTCTCTGTCTCAGTAAGCTTATGCGAGGTGTAAGCACACAGCTGCAATTTTCCATCAGCGTTTGTTTGAAGTAATACTGCCCCCAGCACCACGTCACTGGCATCAGCTTGAATGACAAATGGTGCATCCATATCCAGGTGTTTCAAAACAGGTTCTGCTGCAAAAAGTTGCTTCAATTTTTCGAAAGCGGCTTGACATTCCAGTTAGTCCAGTTCAAAGGCTTACCCGGTTTAGGCTTGGTGTCTCCTTTTGATTTTAGGAGATTTGTAATGGGCAGTGCAATGCTAGCGAACAAGGGAATAAATTGACGATAAAAATTCGCAAATCCAAAAAAACTTTGCAATTGCTTATGGATGCGAGGAGGTGCCCACTCAGTGACCACCTGGACTTTCGCTGGATCCATCTCGATGCCATTGTGGAAGATACGATACCCTAGGTAATCTATCTTCTCTTGATGAAATTCACATTTAGACAATTTAGCATAAAGTTCAGCAGCCCGGAGTTTTTTGAGGAGTGAGCACACTAAAGTCATGTGTTCATCATGTGTTTCCGTGTAGATAAGGATGTCATCAAGGTAGGATAACACACCCTTGTACAGGTGTTCATGCAGAACTTCATTTATTAATTGCATGAAGACTGCTGGTATTTTGTACTGAAAACACCCCAAAGGGCAGTTGAAAACAGTTTTCCATTCATCTCCATCTTTGATTCTGATTCTTAGGTAGGCCTCCCTTAGGTCCAACTTCGTGAAAAAATTTCCTTTTCCCAACTGGGCCAACACGTCTTTCATGAGCGGGAGAGGGTACACATTTTTCATGCAAATTTCATTAAGATTTTTATAGTTCACACATAAACGAAATGAGTCATCTTTCTTTTCTCTAAACAATACAGGCGCGGCCACCCATGGTCTAGCTGGTTCTATGAACCCCCTTTTCAAGTTTTTATCAATAAACTTTCGTAATTCCTCCATTTCATTTGGGGTCATCGAATAAATCTGGGGTTTGGGGAATTTCACTCCTGGCAGGATCTCAATACTACAATCAGTAGTGTGGTGGTGGTGAGGGGGTAGGCAATTTATCAGAAGCCTTTTCACTGAAAACATCCTTTAGGTTCCAATATTCTTTAGGGATTTTCTCTTTCCCCTTCAATTTTTTCCTGTGCTGCAGCCGCTAGATTTGGTTCAGCATTGGCTATGTGAGAGAACCTCTCCTTGCCCTCAGGGGTTTTGCGGAATGGATGAGCAACCACCCTTTCCTCCAATTCATGTAAGTGTTCCATTTCCATAGCCAGGATAAACCTAGTATGAGGGGCCGATCCATCCCAGGTGCAACGATGAAACTTAAGGTTTCTTGGTGATTCCCCCATCCAAATTTCTACTGGTTCAGTTACAAAATGGGCAGGAGCCCCCCGAGCTACTGACCCATCCAACTGGCAAAAGGCAATGGGCACTTTTAAAGTCCTTAGTCTTAAGCCCATCTTCTCCACCACTTCTGGGCTAATTATGCAACCTGTGCATCCAGAGTCTAAAAGGGCCAGCATCTTTGCTTGGGCTCCAGTAGAGGGCACTTTAAGTTCTACTGGCATGGTCATGGGGCCTGATCAGGGACTTACCAAATGATCATCCCAGTCAGTTTCACTTTCCCCTGAGAGAAAGGAGGGTTCTTCCTCCCCCTGGTTGGGAGGGAATTCTTCAACAGGTCTTTCATGGCGGTGTCCTTTTGTTTCCCCGCTTGTTTGTCTGGCTTCCTCTCCCCAGCAGCAGAGGGTTTAAGGCCAATTTTTGAGCAGCAGTTTGCTGCACGATGCCCCTCCTTCCCACATTGGAAACAAGCAGTAGACTGGGGCTTACTTGTAGACTAACTTTTTCCTCACTTTGGGGCTCCTCTGGGGGAGGGGGAGAGGGGGATTTTTACCTTTATCACAGTCTTTCCGGTATTTATCTCTGGCTAGGTCAATCTCCACATCTACTACCAATTCATACTAGCGTTGCAGGTTGCGCCCCCCCCCCCTCATTAACACAGTCCTGGTAAATATCTTGGTTTAGGCCATCCATAAAACTGTCCATCAAAGCCTCTTCAGACCATCCGCGCATATACACCAACAGTTCATGAAACTCTGGATGTATTCAGCTACTGGGCTTTTGCCCTGAGTAAGAGTTTTCATCTTGGTTCTCACCTTACACTCAGTCAGCGTTTTCTCAGGGCGGCCATAAACCCATTATAATTCCTCAGCAGGGGGGAGTCATCATTATGCAGAGCGACCATCCAGGCTGCCTCCTTATTCTCCAATGCCATGGTAACAACTCACCTTGGCTTCCTCATTGGGGATATCCTCTCCAAACTATTGCGTGGAATTCCAGACCTGGACCAGGAAAAATCCTAGCTCCTTGGGGTCACCTCCAAATTTCACGCCAAGAGGAGGAACTTTTGCCATTCAGCATCTGCGTGCCCCCCCCCACACGTTGGATGGGCTTGTGCGGCTGCTGCTGCTGCTGCTGCTGCTGGGGCTCCCCCATCCTGATCAGCTCTGCTGTGTGCCCCCAGCCCACTCTGGGTGAGACAGATCCTCTGTGCATCTCTCTTCTTGATCAGGGAAATCAGCCTCTCTTTCAACCCTGCTCTCACAAAAATGATGTTTCTCCCAGGCCTCTTGGAAGAGTTTTATCGCATGGGACATCATTAGAGCCTCTTCTTCGGCTTCTTGCCAGACAGCTGCCGGTCTCCGACGTTGGCTGGTAGTAACTCCAGCCGGAATTTCCTCAGGGTCATATCTCTGTCCCACTCCCAATGACCACCTGGGGCAGACGGATCTTTCCTCCAAATTCAGTTCCGCCATCCGCTCCGTTTCTAGGGGGCACAAGGATCCGGCAGTCCCCATGTCGTCCTCCTGGTTGCTGCCAGGGTTGGAAATTTCTTTGAAGGTTTTGTTGTTTTATTGCACTCCCCTCAGAAGGTGTTAGCTCTGGGATGAGTGTGAAAGTGAAACCTTGCTTAATGTCAAGCATGCCTCCTTCAGCAACCAAGAAAGAAACCTCTCAACTCCTTTGTTTGTGGAATTAAAAGTACTTTTACTGGTTATGAAAAGATAGCAACGAAGTAAAGCAAGGTCTTAGGCAGAAACACACGAAATCATACATATCAAACATTTGCCCCACCCCTCCCCCCAACAACCCCCATCACATTGCCCAATCTGCAAATCCCTTAGGTGTCATGTGGGTTGCATCTCCAATAAGCATCATCAGGTTAGTATGCAGGATGGTTGGCCTTGACCAGATCCAAACAATGGCCATCAGCATGTGCAGAAGATGGTGAGAACTAAACTTCCTTTTTGTACTATCACTCCTGTCCCAATTATTCCCCACCCAAATACCATGCCCCCTCCCCGTTTCCATGGCAGCCAAAAGCAAGCAAGCAAAGCCAAGGCTGACAGCTTGGCTTTGCACTTGCTTATATCCTATGGACTTAACCAATGTAACCAAACTAGTAAAAATGGTTTAATGCAATTGGTAAACCAGGATAAAACTCTGTTCATGCATCTCATAAATCATAATATCTAGCCAGCCGGTGACCAGCCCGCAGCAAAAGTTTTGGGGAGTTTCAAACTCCAGCCATCCACCATCCATGATAAATCATATTTTCTTGTGGATCTCACGCCTGCCAATGGTTTGCCTGATTTATGACTTAGCGTGTTCTTTGAATATAGAGCTAATTAACAGCCCAAAGAAAGCTATCTGAATATAATTTGTGGACTTGTCAGTATTTTTTCAGTAGAAGGATTCATCAGTTGATATAGTTATTAAGTTTAAACTGGAAAGTGGAAGTTACCACTCAGTCTTATCACTCACTGGATAATACTTTTGGAAAAACTCATTTTTCTTGACTGACAAGACATTCTGAACAGTGGAAGAGAAATGCAAGTACATTTTTACCAATATGTTATTGTTTAAAATAATCCTACTACTGGGGCTTTGATGGCTGATTGATATCCAGACAGGACATCTGGCACAAGGAATCTCATCCTCAGTTCATAATCTGCTCCTCAAAGTTACCAGATCATCAGATCCCTGATATAGCATCAAGTGAATAAAAGTCTTTATAGATTTTCCAATTCATTTGATAATAGCTTCAGACTTATCCCTTACAACCAGAAACAAAATTTTGGGTTTGCTGGACAAGACCTCACAAAGCTTGTTGACCTACAATCATGGATGAGCCAAACCCATTTGAGGCTCTTCCACAATGGTCAAATATCCCCCTCCAAAAAATACCCCAATATTTTCTGACTACTCATCTGGTTTTGTAAACCAAAAGACAAGCATACACATAGGTACATATAGGCGATATGTATGGAAAGAGAAATACTAAAAATGTGTTAAGTGCTGAAAGCCCTCTGAAGTAGTAAACTCAGCAATTTAAAGCAAAGGGACTGAATGCTGATTGGCTGCTCTGCACTGATGTTTTGAATTCAACATAGTGCTTACTTGGAAAAATTGCCAGTTTGTGGTAAAAACTCATTACCTTCTCACTATGTACCTCACCTTAAAATAGGCCTCATAAACAGCAAAATTGCTAATTAAAAGAACTCCCTGAGTGGCAGTTGACAATTTTATTTACATACTGTATAGTAATATAGTAGTTTTAGGTAATTTCAGATATGAAAATTCAAATTTCTACAGTTTGTGTGGATGATGAATGCAAGACGCCTAGTTGTTCTGAGTGCTTCATCTGAGATATGTAGTAAAGTTCTCTGATGCTTACGCTTTTTTTAAAAAATAGAATAGAATCATGTTGCAAAGCCCACAGAATGGTTTTCTCAAAAATAACTAATATTATATGGCAATAACGATTGATTTAAGAAAAGCAAATGGATTCATCTTCTGTTTTTCTGCTGAAGAGTTCCTTTGTGCTTTGCATTGTTGCTGAAGTTTCATTTCATTGGCCATTAAATCTGGGGTTCACGACAGTGGTAGTGGCACTCTTGAAAAGAGGATTGTCAGCCTGTCAATAAAAAAATCAGAAACCTTTAGCTGCTAATAAAACCTAATATTTCAAGAGCAGATCAGGATTCAGATGGGCAATCACACACTCACTTAACAGCTTGATAAAATCCAAACTAAACAGCAGGAAGATGATAGAACAGTGTTTCTCAACCTTGGCAACTTGAAGATGTCTGGACTTCAACTCCCAGAATTTCCCAGCCAGCATTCGCTGGCTGGGGAATTCTGAGAATTGAAGTCCAGTCATCTTCAAGTTGCCAAGGTTGAGAAACACTGTGGTAGAATCTACACCAAAGGCCTGCCCATGTACCTCAAGCTGAATCAATTATTTTGATTAATAATTCAAATACAGGAAGAAAAAGACATAAGTAGGTCTTCTCCTTCCTTTATATCTCTCCAGAAGATATAAACACTTTACCTCATTCCATTTGGCCTTGGATTTTTCCTTCTCAAATCTGTGATATTCTCTGCGATCAAACAACTCTGCCACTAGCCGCCAGGCCAGGAGAATGAGGAGCCCAATAAGAGCCACTCCAGCTATAGTGCCCCCCACTATGGCTGCAATGTTTGGCGGTTGGGGACATTCTAAGAGAAGAAAGAAACATGATTAAATTATGTGTGCTTGATTGAGTGCTATGAATGTTTTTATTATATCTATTTGCATATATTACATGCTAGTGGTAAACATTTTTAATGGATAAAGATGAGGCAGAATTTAAAAAAAATTCCCCACATAAATAACAGATCCTGAATCTCCATATGAGATTGCCAGAAATTCTTTAAAGGCCATATATTCTGTCAGTGGCAGGGTTCGCCATCTCATCAGGGAGACCTCTTAACTAATTCTGACTCACTATAGGGTCTTCTATCACAAGGAAGAAAAATCCTCAGGAGGCCCTCTCAAAATGCTGAATAATACAAGTTACCTCTTTTCCCATTACTTACACAATGAAGGCCAAGATCTGTTTCTGTTACTGACTGTGACTAACAATTACACAGCACTAATGTCATTTCTAGTCAAGAGATATTACAATGGAGAACAGATGTTAGTTTTTGATGACGTGGCACTAAGCATACCTTTCTCACGATTGACTGTAATAGAATAGTGCTCTTCTCCGTCAGTAGGAAGCATTGTGTAAGAGATCCAGCAATTCTCTGAATCCTTATCCCTGCAGTGTATACTTTTTGGTTGCGCTTCACTTTCAAGAGTAATATTTGAACAACTATCAGAGCAATTCTTCTGAAATGGACCACTCCCAAAAGCAAGACATTCAACACAAGAACTAAAAAACAAACAAACAAGAAGCAAAGCTTCTTTAAAAAGTTTCATAACAGTATCATTAAAACACATCTATATTTTATATAGCATATTATAGCATATTGTAAGTGAGGAGGATGTAAAGCTGAGAGAATCCAAACTTATTAAAATACATACTATATACATTCTGCATCAGGAGGATGACAAATTTGAGCTAACCTCAAATAGATGAGATCTCTCTGGGGTTTACATTAACTGTCCCTGGTCAACTGGTATTGTTTACTGAGGAGAATAGACACTGAGGTAATAAACTAATGAGACTCCTTCCAAACCATTTTATGATATAAATAAGCTGAACCTGAAGTGGAGCAATACAATCTAGTTGTACAGCAGACATCTCTCCAGGAGCCTAGGATTTTTTGGAGACTCCATCTTTATATTTTTAATACCAAAATCTATAGACAGGAATGAATTTTATTTATGCCAATTCCTGAATAATAGCAATAGCAGTTAGACTTATATACCGCTTCATAGGGCTTTCAGCCCTCTCTAAGTGGTTTACAGAGTCAGCATATCGCCCCCACAGTC